CCCCAAAACCCCAAAACCCCAAAACCCCAAAACCCCAAGAATATTTTCCGAAATTGGTTCTTAACAAAGGGTTGATCTAGCTTATCTTCCGAGTTTTTGAGAGATGAAGGAGGGACCTTCGTTGTTCTTTCCATACATATACTCTGTGGCTCTGGCCCATCCGATGGCTTCAATTCTATCCTGGTGCTCAAACTTATCCTTCTCAGCCTTGGAGACTCCTGCTTGGTAGAAGTTCAAAGGTTCTGGGCAAATTTGATGCGTTCTGGAGAATTCACCATTGGAAATAGTTCGAATGTACCAATATGTAGGGAACACCATTGTTGCAGAGAGTATGATTCCCCAGGGAAGGTGTCTGAAAGGCAAGAAATAACCGAGGACAAAGGGACTGAGGATAACCCAGGCTTTGAAATGATGGAACATATCTGGGATATCCTGACCACCGGTGTGATGCTCGAAGAAGTCATACAACAACTTGTATCCCAAGAAGAGTCCAGCAGTGTAGCCCATTGGTCTTGCGAATATTTTTGCATATTTCAGCAAACCTCTGATGTGGAAAGGAGACCTCTTTTCAGAAAGATAGAGCTTCTGGTCAACAAATCTGTTTTCGATGAGGTGATTTGAATGTTGGTAGAGTCCGTAGATAGCTCCAATGACGGCACCCTTGATGGTGTATTTGATCCATTGGATAGGCTTTTGGTGACTCTCATTTACTAGATCAGGAAGGTGTCTTGTTAGGGCCCATGGCTCAGAGAGTTTGAAATTGAGCATTCCAATAAAATCTCCATAGAGCATCGGCTTAAAATCTCTATTTCTTCTTTTAGGGCTATTATGAATGTCAAGTTCTTTGAACCCATGCTTTGTTCTATAAGACTCAATTTGATCCACAGAGTTCTTATGAACATCTGAGCCGGTCAGTGATGTCCAATATACCATTAATTTTATAATTATTATTATCAATTTTATAATAAATTATAGGGGTTTTGGGGTTTTGGGGTTTTGGGGTTTTGGGG